GGTCGTGGGCGGGGGTACTGGTTGGGGGGGTCAAGGGTGAGGTAGTCTCGAGGGCGAGTCACAGTCAAAACCGAAGAAAACACCTAGGTGTGAAAGGTGACCCTCCAGCTCTGGTCCTGACCGGATACCTCGCTCAGTGGAAGGCCCAACCTGAATTCCTCGCTCTGTGGAGGCCCAAACCGGAAGTTCCTCGCCCAGGGAAAAGGCCCAACCGAATTTCCTACCTCCCCATGGAAAAATCACTACCACACAACAGCCTACCATATACATCACTACCCACACACACACTACCATAACATCACTACTACCACACACAACTACCATATACATCACTACAACACACAACTACCATATACATCATACCACAACACAACTACCACAACAACTACCATATACATCACTACCACACACAACTACCATATAAAATCACTAACCACACACACACAACTACCATATACATCACTACCACACACACACAACTACACATACAACTACCATATACATCACTACCACACACAACTATCATATACATCACTACCACACACACACAACTACCATATACATCACTACCACACACACACAACTACCATATACATCACTACCACACACACAACTACCATATACATCACTACCACACACACACAACTACCATAACATCACTACCACACACACATAACTACCAATACACATCACTTACCACACACACAGCTACCATATACATCACTACCACACACACAACTACCATATACATCACTACCACACACATCATATACATCACTACCACACACATCATATACATCACTACCACACACACACAACTACCATATACATCACTACCACACACACAACACCATATACATCACTACCACACACACACAACTACCATATACATCACTACCCACACACACAACTACCATATACATCACTACCACACACACAGCTACCATATACTCACTACCCCACACACACCATATACATCACTACCACACACACAACTCCCATATACATCACTACCACACACACAACTACCATTTTACATCACTACCACACACACACAACTACCATATACATCACTACCACACACACAACTACCATATACACACGTACCACACACACACAACTACCATATACATCACTACCACACACACACAACTACCATACACATCACTACCACACACACAGCTACCATATACATCACTACCACACACACACAACTCCCATATACATCACTACCACACACATCATATACATCACTACCACACACATCATATACATCACTACCACACACACACAACTACCATATACATCACTACCACACACACAAACTACCATATACATCACTACCACACACACAGCTACCATATACATCACTACCCACACACACCATAAACATCACTACCACACACACACCATATACATCACTACCACACACACACCATATACATCACTACCACACACACAACTACCATATACATCACTACCACATACAACTACCATATACATCACTACCACATACAACTACCATATACATCACTACCACACACACAACTACCATATACATCACTACCACACACACAACTTACCATATACATCACTACCACATACAACTACCATATACATCACTACCACACACAACTACCATATACATCACTACCACACACACAACTACCATATACATCACTACCACATACAACTACCATATACATCACTACCACAAAACAACTACCATATACATCACTACCACACACACAACTACCATATACATCACTACCACACACAACTACCATATACATCACTACCACATACAACTACCATATACATCACTACCACACACAACTACCATATACATCACTACCACACACACAACTACCATATACATCGCTTCTGCTTAAAATCAAGGACATTCTCTGTAGTTCTGTTGTACTGGTACCTGCCCCACGCAGCGCGTTTCAAACGTACTGATGCTCCAGCACAAGCAGGAGACCACCAAGGCACGCACTTCTGGGAATGCTTACCCTGCGGTTAAGACTGAGGTTGAGAAGGGGAGTAAAATCTCATCAATGGAGGAAGAGGAAGGAGTCTCATTAAAAGGCAGTTAGGCGCTCGTAAAGGTCCCAATTCGCTCGGTCAAACTGTCAGCGTGGGCTACGAGGGGATGGGGAATATGAAGGAGATGTAAATGTAAGGATTGGAAAATGATCGCTTTCATGCAAGTCCGGGAGGACAGACCAGGTGAAGTCTACGACAGTTTAGGAAGAGCAGATCGAGAGATCGATGTAAGAGGATCAAAATGGGTGGGAGTACCCGTATTTAAAAAATTGAATGGGTGAGAAGCGAGAAAAGCCTTTAACTGAATGCTGTGGGAGTCACAGTGAGACACTCCCCCCCCCGAGGGGGGGGGATTAAAATCGCATTAGAATCGCATTAAAATCGCCAAGTAACAGAAGTGGTTGCGGTAAGGAAGAAACTAGAAAGGCAACATCTGGGATAGATAATGCCTGAGAAGGAGATACAAATAACAGATTGTATACCACTTATTCAAGTGGATACGGGCTGCAGTGTAATGCAGCGAAGTATGAACAAAGAGCTGACGGTATGGAATATCAGTGCGTATAAGAAGGGTACTTTCATTAAAGGTTCCATCGGATAAAGGATCCGATGAATACAATAAATCATAGCCTGAGGTGGGATGGATAACAGCGGAGTGTAATTTGGGTTCTTGTAAACAAACACCAACAAGAAAAAACTGGGAGAGCAACATCTGAAGCTCACCCCGGTTACCTCTGAGGCCATGGATATTTCACTGTAAATAAGCCATGATTTGTAACCAGAAAGATACAAGAAATCTGCAGGTAAAGGTATTTATGGACTAGAGGGGTTAGAAAATTCCACATGTGGCAGCGGAATTTCCCCTTCAAGCCGCTAAATTTTGAAAAGGGAAAAGTATCCCCTTTAACATGTCAAAAAAGTGTCATGTTAAAGGGTTCGATATGACCGAGTCCAATTACTGGGAATATGAGTGGAAAACTGGGGATGACGGATCGTTGACGGGAAGGATATGGAGGAAGGTTGGGGTGAAGTATGGGAAAAAAGGAAAGTAATACGAGCCATGGGAGAGAAGAAGTGTGCGAGGCCTGTGGGAAGAGGGAAGATGGGAGAGTGACGGGAAACAAAGGTAGAGAAGAAATCTGAAGGGAGAAGTAGGTGGTGCATTACAGGATGCAGGAGTGTGAAGGTCAGGCAGAGGAAATACATACAAATCTTAATACTGGGTTCACCCACTTGATATATTCTGGCCCTTCTCTGTTAATTAAGTCACTCGTCTAAACGTGGACGAGGCTTCCAACCTGTCTCCTGCTGCTCCCACCTTCTAAGGTAAAATTTCTCTATTTCTTGTTCTCCTTCCATCACGTCATATTCTGGTATTACTGACAAGTTATAGGCGAAAAGACAAGTGGAGAAATGTTTGAAAATAAATGGTATAAAATGCCGACACAATGGAAAAACACATACGCAGTTTAATGTGATCCTTTATTGACAACGTTTCGCCCACACAGTGGGCTTTTTCAAGTCACAAACAGATCTACCTGGGGCGGAAGGTACGTGAGTATTTATAGTCAGACTATAAATACTCACGTACCTTCCCCGCCCACTGTGTGGGCGAAACGTTGTCAATAAAAGATCACATTAAACTGCGTATGTGTTTATGTTTCCACGGAGAAATGTTTATTTAGTAAAAGTCTTGATGGGTGGCGGCGTTGACTCAAACTTTCTCCAGGTATCTTACGTCTCTCTCACATCTTCACTGCTCGTCTTACATAAACATTACTTGTTTCTAACATTGACAACTAAACATCTTTAATAAAACAACACTTAAAAAGCCAAATATATTTTTTAAATAAAGAATTAATAACTATAAAAATATGAAATAACTAATGATTTTTAACTTTTCATATACACAGAGCTATAAATAAATGTTTATATATATATATATATATATATATATATATATATATATATATGTATATATATATATATATATATATATATATATATATATATATATATATATATATATATATATATATAACACTTGTATGTGTGTTTAGGTATAATTTTGATAAATTAGACATGTACAACATTTGGGTATCTTTAATGAGGAAACGTTTCGCCACACAGTGGCTTCATCAGTCCATACAAAAGAGAATGGTGAAGAACAGGAGTAGTTTGAGGTAATCAGTCCCTCAGCCTTGAATCGATGTAATGAGTCGGACTGACCACATCAATCTTGAAAAGACTGATGGATTAACCACATCGACTCGAGGGTAAGGGACTGATTACCTCAAACTCCTCCTGTTCTTCACCATTCTCCTTTGTATGGACTGATGAAGCCACTGTGTGGCGAAACGTTTCCTCATTAAAGATACCCAAATGTTGTACATGTGTCTAATTTATCAACATGTCGGTTCTCTGAACCATTCTTCTACATTCAAGTATAATTTTGACAAATTATTTAAATCCTGACTACAGTATTACCAAGATTATTAACACTGAATGATAAAGATCATGTATATCTATGACTATACTATAATTATTAATAATAATCATAATATTAACAATAATAAAGTGTATTACTGTATAGAGGCAGTGTTGCGCCTCTGTGGTATTGGATACCCAGATTCTTAACCTTGAGATTACCAAATACTCGCTACTGGAATTAACAGTTTGTAAATCTTGGGATTACTCAAATGACCCTTAGATCTGACCCCAGGGTCTGACCCCAGGGTCTGACCCCAGGTCTGACCCCAGGTCTGACCCCAGGGTCTCACCTTTGAGCGTCGCACACTAGTACAAGCCTACGGAAATTTCTTCGGGCTGAGCAAATTAACTTTTTTTATAAACTATTATAAACTGTATAGCCCTTGTGGCTTAGCGCTTCTTTTTGATTATAATAATAATATAAACTATTTTCTAAAGACAGGAAGTGTGTCTGGACATAGTTCATTTCGAAAAATTTAATTTCTTAAGGTACAAAATTGCTGTGGTTTGCATATTACAAAATTAATATATTAAATTTTGTACAGTGTGTGCAACATTGGACGTGATGTTGTTCAGGTCTCTTATACCATTACAAGACAAGTATTAGATTATTCATGGACTAATTGTACTAACTTTAGGAACTAAAGTTAGCCAAGTCCACATGACTCTTTGTGTTCTGAGTATAATACAATGGTGAGAGAGAGTGTTGTGTGTGTGTGTGTGTGTGTGTGTGTGTGTGTGTGTGTGTGTGTGTGTGTGTGAAATCACTTGTGTTTTCACGGGTCAAGTCATAGCTCCTAACCCCGCCTCTTCACTGGTTACTACCAGGTAGATAGGTAGGTGTTGGTTACCATTTCGTTCTAGGCACATGTCGATTAGACACTAAGCCTGTTGTGTGCGTGTGTTAAAAATTGAACTCTCTAAAATACTTTCCAAGTTCACAGCTCCGAACATAAAACACTTACAAATTATTTAGTAGAGATGAATATATTTATATTTTTAGCAATGTTGTAGGTAGTAACGGAGCCAGATCAGTTATCAATATCATGAATGAATCAAGTTGAGTGTCAAATTGTTTGGTTGATTACAGTAGCTTAATGCCAGATATTATGGATGGATCAGTGAATAAACCTCGATTATTGTTCATCTGTTCTCGAGGTTCAATGATGTGAGAAGAATGTCTATGATGGATACACTATACACATGATATACACACAAACACACATCGTACATGATGTATACATGTAGTAATGTATATGCTGATAGTTTCCTGGTACAGTGTCGTATGGAGGACAGTAGGTATGTATCATACTGGAAGATTTCCGAGTGGTTCATCAAACATCCCTTCTCGTCATCATCTCCCGGAGGATGATGAACTTTTCCGTTACTGATGACCGAGTTGCCCGTGTCCTCAGCCACCAGGCAGAAGCTAGCCACGTCGGGGCTCTGGCCTCTGGGGTGCGCCTTGACCTCGTCGACGTGGGTAATAGTGACAACCTCTGGGGTGGGCATCTTGTAGTAATATCTCGCCAACATGACAGCACCACCAGCTGCCCATCAGTAGGGAGTTGAGTAATGCTGTTGAAAAAACGCCTGCTTAATCTCTCTGAATTAATTTTAGCAAGGATACTAGTCTCCTGACAAGAGGTGCTGACAAAGAGAAAGATGGTTGATCATGGTGGTGGGGGGACGTAGGACTATGAATGGCAGTAGGACGAGGATGAGCTACAGCTCCTGGGATCTTTTATTACCCCATACATTCTAAAATATTCAATTTATCAACATACATTTAAGATCATTGACAGGAATTTAAAAAATATTTGTGTCTGGGGAGGACAGAGGAAGGGTGGGGGATGTATTTCTGTGAGAGATGTAGAAGTTGTTAAAATCTTAGTTATTTAGTCAGGCCAGAGTTTATGAAGATGTGTAGGATGTGAGGCAGTGAAGATGACAGATGGTGAGGTAGGAAATTCAGCTTTGAGGACTGCATAAACTATAAACACAGGAATGAAAAAATAACAAGACACTGGAGGTGTCGGGTGACAGATGGGAAGTGTTCTCCTTAGATGGAGTTGGAAAAGGATCTGGTTATACGATAAATTCTCTCTTACAAACATCAGAATTTCCTTTCGCGGAGGAAAACTGGGTAACACTAACAGGAAGGATGTGCTTCGCTACAGCTGAGCAGTAAAAGGGACATCGGTTCATATATTACATTATCGACTGGGTCAAAATTAATGACTCTGACGACGACCATACGTCTTATTAGAGGGTAACAGTAGATGTCTTGGCCGATATCGCACACGAGTTCTTGTGTTGGTGTGGACACTCAGGTATGTGTCGGATTTTGTTTGCATTAAAAAATTTTGACTATTGTGCTGAGAAGATTTTCGCTCGTGTGACTTTCCTGCCTGTGCATTTTTTGTAATATTTGCAGCGCTGAACGACCCTTGTGGGTTTAGCACTTATTTCTTCTTTCAACACACCGGCCGTATCCCACTGAGGCGGGGTGGCACAAAAGGAAAAACGAAAATTTCTTTTAAATTTAGTAATATATACAGAAGAAGGGGTTACTAACCCCTTGTTCCTGGTATTTTAGTCGCCTCGTACGACACGCCTGACTTACAGAGGAAGAATTCTGTTCCACTTTCCTATGGAGATAAGAGGAAATAAACAAGAACTAGCAAGAAAATAGAAGAAACCCAGAGGTGTGTGTATATATATACTTGTACATGTATGTGTAGTGTGACCTAAGTGTAAGTAGCAGTAGCAAGACGTACCTGAAATCTTGCATGTTTATGAGACAGAAAAAAAGACACCAGCAATCCTTCCATCGTGTAAAACAATTACAGGCTTCCATTCTACACTCACTAGGCAGGATGGGAGTACCTCCCTGGGTGGATGCTGTCTACCAACCTACTACCACAGGACGGTAGGACCTCCCTGGGTGGTTGCTGTCTACCAACCTACTACCACAGGACGGTAGGACCTCCCTGGGTGGTTGCTACCAGCCTACTACCACAGGACGGTAGGACCTCCCTGGGTCGTTGCTGTCTACCATCCTACTACCACAGGACGGTAGGACCTCCCTGGGTGGTTGCTCTCTACCAACCTACTACCACAGGACGGTAGTGCCTCCTGGGTGGTTGCTGTCTACAGCCTACTACCAGAGGACGGTAGGATCTCCCTGGGTGGTTGCTGTCTACCAGCATACTACCACAGGACGGTAGGATCTCCCTGGGTGGTTGCTGTCTACCAGCCTACTACCACAGGACGGTAGGACCTCCCTGGGTGGATGCGGTCTACCAGCCTACCACAGGACGGTAGTACCTCCCTGGGTGGTTGCTGTCTACCAACCTACTACCACAGGACGGTAGGACCTCCCTGAGTGGTTGCTGTCTACCAACCTACTACCACAGGACAGTAGGACCTCCATGGGTGGTTGCTCTCTACCAACCTACTACCACAGGACGGTAGTACCTCCCTGGGTGGTTGCTGTCTACCAGCCTACCACACGACGGTAGTACCTCCCTGGATCGTTGCTGTCTACCAGCCTACTACCAAAGGACGGTAGGACCTCCCTGGGTGGTTGCTGTCTACCAACCTACTACCACAGGACGGTAGGACCTCCCTGGGTGGTTGCTGTCTACCAGCATACTACCACAGGAGGGTAGGATCTCCCTGGGTGGTTGCTGTCTACCAGCATACTACCACAGGACGGTAGGATCTCCCTGGGTGGTTGCTGTCTACCAGCATACTACCACAGGACGGTAGGATCTCCCTGGGTGGTTGCTCTCTACCAACGTACAACCACAGGACGGTAGTACCTCCCTGGGTGGTTGCTGTCTACCAGCCTACTATCACAGGACGGTAGGACCTCCCTGGGTGGTTGCTGTCTACCAACCTACTACCACAGGACGGTAGTACCTCCCTGGGTAGTTGCTGTCTACCAACCTACTACCACAGGACGGTAGGACCTCCCTGGGTGGTTGCTCCCTACCAACCTACTACCACAGGACGATAGGACCTCCCTGGATCGTTGCTGTCTACCAACCTACTACCACAGGACGGTAGGACCTCCCTGGGTGGTTGCTGTCTACCAGCCTACCACAGGACGGTAGTACCTCCATGGGTGGTTGCTGTCTAACAACCTACTACCAAAGGACGGTAGTACCTCCCTGGGTAGTTGCTGTCTACCAGCCTACCACAGGACGGTAGTACCTCCCTGGGTGGTTGCTGTCTACCAACCTACTACCACAGGACGGTAGGACCTCCCTGGGTGGTTGCTGTCTACCAACCTACCACCACAGGACGGTAGGACCTCCCTGGGTGGTTGCTATCTACCAGCATACTACCACAGGACGGTAGTACCTCCCTGGGTCGTTGCTGTCTACCAGCCTACTACAAAAGGACGGTAGGACCTCCCTGGGTGGTTGCTGTCTACCAACCTACTACCACAGGACGGTAGGACCTCCCTGGGTGGTTGCTCTCTACCAACCTACCACCACAGGACGGTAGTACCTCCCTGGATCGTTGCTGTCTACCAACCTACTACCACAGGACGGTAGGACCTCCCTGGGTGGTTGCTCTCTACCAACCTAATACCACAGGACGGTAGTACCTCCCTGGGTGGTTGCTGTCTACCAACCTACTACCACAGGATGGTAGGACCTCCCTGGGTGGTTGCTGTCTATCAACCTACTACCACAGGACGGTAGGACCTCCCTGGATAGTTGCTGTCTACCAACCTACTACCATAGGATGGTAGGACCTCCCTGGGTGGTTGCTGTCTACCAACCTACTACCACAGGACGGTAGGATCTCCCTGGGTGGTTGCTGTCTACCAGCCTACTATCACAGGACGGAAGGACCTCCCTGGGTGGATGCTGTCTACCAGCCTACCACAGGACGGTAGTACCTCCCTGGGTGGTTGCTGTCTACCAACCTACTACCACAGGACGGTAGGACCTCCCTGAGTGGTTGCTGTCTACCAACCTACCACAGGACAGTAGGACCTCCCTGGGTGGTTGCTCTCTACCAACCTACTACCACAGGACGGTAGTACCTCCCTGAGTGGTTGCTGTCTACCAGCCTACCACACGACGGTAGTACCTCCCTGGATCGTTGCTGTCTACCAGCCTACTACCAAAGGACGGTAGGACCTCCCTGGGTGGTTGCTGTCTACCAACCTACTACCACAGGACGGTAGGACCTCCCTGGGTGGTTGCTGTCTACCAGCCTACTTCCACAGGACGGTAGTACCTCCCTGGGTGGTTGCTGTCTACCAGCCTACTACCACAGGACGGTAGGACCTCCCTGGGTGGTTGCTGTCTATCAATCTACTACCACAGGACCGTAGGACCTCCCTGGGTGGTTGCTGTCTACCAACCTACTACCACAGGACGGTAGTACCTCCCTGGGTAGTTGCTGTCTACCAACCTACTACCACAGGACGGCAGGACCTCCCTGGGTGGTTGCTCTCTACCAACCTACTACCACAGGACGGTAGGACCTCCCTGGGTAGTTGCTGTCTACCAACCTACTACCACAGGACGGTAGTACCTCCCTGGGTGGTTGCTGTCTACCAGCCTACCACAGGACGGTAGTACCTCCACGGGTGGTTGCTGTCTACCAACCTACTACCAAAGGACGGTAGTACCTCCCTGGGTAGTTGCTGTCTACCAGCCTACCACAGGACGGTAGTACCTCCCTGGGTGGTTGCTGTCTACCAACCTACTACCACAGGACGGTAGGACCTCCATGGGTGGTTGCTGTCTACCAACCTACCACCACAGGACGGTAGGACCTCCCTGGGTGGTTGCTATCTACCAGTATATTACCACAGGACGGTAGTACCTCCCTGGGTCGTTGCTGTCTACCAGCCTACTACAAAAGGACGGTAGGACCTCCCTGGGTGGTTGCTGTCTACCAACCTACTACCACAGGACGGTAGGACCTCCCTTGGTGGTTGCTCTCTACCAACCTACTACCACAGGACGATAGTACCTCCATGGGTCGTTGCTGTCTACCAGCCTACTACAAAAGGACGGTAGGACCTCCCTGGGTAGTTGCTGTCTACCAACCTACTACCACAGGACGGTAGGACCTCCCTGGGTGGTTGCTGTCTACCAACCTACTACCACAGAACGGTAGGACCTCCCTGGGTAGTTGCTGTCTACCAACCTACTACCACAGGACGGTAGGACCTCCCTGGGTGGTTGCTCTCTACCAACCTACCACAGGACGGTAGGACCTCCCTGGGTGGTTGCTGTCTACCAACCTACTTCCACAGAACGGTAGGACCTCCCTGGGTAGTTGCTGTCTACCAACCTACTACCACAGAACGGTAGGACCTCCCTGGGTAGTTGCTGTCTACCACATACTACCACAGAACGGTTAGGACCTCCACTGGGTGGTTGCTCTCTACCAACCTACCACCACAGGACGGTAGTACCTCCCTGGATCGTTGTTGTCTACCAACCTACTACCACAAGACGGTAGTACCTCCCTGGGTGGTTGCTGTCTACCAGCCTACTACCACAGGCCAGTAGGACCTCCCTGGGTGGTTGTCTACCAAC